TGCTATGTGTGTAAATATGAAAATTTAGATGTGAGGCATGTAAATACATTAGAATTGTGTGTTGTGTATGTAATTATCCATTCGTCTTAATAATCTGCAAAATTATTGGTTACATTATGCATTATGCTTCAATTTGCAATCCTTTATCAACATATTGACTTGAAACTTGTGTATATTCGTGCTATATTTCATGCGCCTAGTTGCACTTTATGTGCTCAATATGTTTGTTTCTTGTTAATTGTCTATCTATTCAAAGACACCTACGTGTTAACATAGTCTTATTTGATCATATGAGATTGCTACAATCAGAAACTCAAGTCTTTTTGTGATATTGGGAAACTGAATCAAAGATCATGCAAAATATGCTAGATTTATCAACTATCTAGTGGTGGGAGTCTTATAACGAAACCATGAAATGCTAGAATTTCATTTCATTTCATTTTTATCTTGGGAATTCATTATAATCTTCTGTATATGCTGATTCTTTAAGTATGGGTTGTTATCAACTAAACAAAGTTACTATTTCTGAAAATAATATTTCATTTTGCCATGTGAAACTGATTGTTGGTTGTCATTCTCCACTTCATTGCAAAATTATAGCTTTAATGTCAAAAACTGCCGGTTCAATTGTTGAATCCATCTTAAAGAGGGATCCTCATGAAGTTGAATTTTTGCAATCAGTTCAAGAAGTGATAAATTCTCTAGAGCCAGTACTTTTGAAGGGTTCTCAGTAAGTATCTCAAATTGATTTTGTTTTGATTGCTTTAATTGGAGAATATAGGTCTTATTTTAAGTGTTAAGATAGCTGTTAGCATTTCGCTTGTTTGTCAGGTATGCCCATATTTTGGAGCGCTTGTTGGAACCAGAGCGAATGATCATTTTTAGGGTTCCTTGGATTGATGATAGGGGAGAGACACATGTAAATCGAGGCTTTCGTGTGCGATTCAGTCAGGTGTTGGGTCCATGTAGGGGTGGTCTTCGATTTCACCCGACGATGAATCTTAGTATTGCCAAATTCATTGCTTTTGAACAGGTATGTTTTGTGTTTCAATTTGGAAAATGATTTCTTAATCATGTGTTTTGAATTGAGAAATATGATTAGTACCGTCGTTATGCTAAGGGAGCATATTCACTAGAATAGATTTTGTGGATTGATTTGATTATTTTCTAGGTTTCTATTTCGTTTTGGGAAATTTTCATATGCAACACACAATTCTTATGTATTTACATATCTCACACCTAAACTTACATACTTACATGCATTGCACTTTCGGCTTTAAACCTACGCATGAAAATGTGTATTTGACTTTTAAAAAGTGATAATAGGACTATTGATATGATATTAAGGATTTGATTGTTATGTGTATAAATATGGAAGTTTAGGTGCGAGATATGTAAATACATAAAAATTGTGTGCTATGTATATAAATGCCTTTTTTTTTCAATCATAGATGATTATTGTTATCATTACTTAGGAGCACCCATGCGACTCAACGTCGCACTGAAATGTTAGGATTTGGTCTTATAATAATTGATTGAGGACTTTGGTCACACTTTGCATGAGATAGTTTGGTTAATCTATCTTTTTGGCTTCATTTTGTGATGCTATTGTGCTTGCTTGCATGAACATAACTACCTTTGGCCTAAACTAGGTTATGACTTAGTTTTTAGTCAAAGTTTAAAACTTAAATCGATTTTAGCTTGGATTGAACAAAATCAAACCAAAATAATTGAGCCTCGAGCCAAAATTTTGACTTGGTCCAATCTTCAATCCCGATTCAAGCTAGGCTTGGATCGGATCAAGTTTGCTTGATATCAGCTTGAAATATAAATATAATGCATATTTTTTAAATTTAATTTATTCATATATGTGAATATAGATGTGTATATGGTTTGTGAATATATAGATATGCTTATTAAATATTATTTTATTTTTATTGTTGATAGGGAAAATAAGTTATTTTGAGCTAGCCAATTGGATTTATTTGAGCCAAGCTAGCTTGAAATCGAATTGATTCTATCCATGAGCTGATTTTGAGAAATAAATTATTTTGAGCTGGGTAAATAGGCTTATTTGAGCTACACTAGCTTGAAATCAAATTAGTTCTATCCATGCGCTAATTTTGGGCTACTTTGAGATTTCACCGGATCAGCTTGAAATCCGTTCATTCTCCCCCTACCCTATATTGGTTGAGTTACCCCCCACAAGTATGTTTTTCGTGGTTAAGAAGTCATGAAGGGGAAGATACATTATATGTTTTGCGCATAATATAATTGTGTTTTTGGCTGCTTTTTGTAAGCAATTTAAGGCCCATTTGTGGCATCTTCTTCTCTGGTTTGCTCTCATAAAACTATCATAAAGTCGTTTGGCTACAGCTTGCTTGTAGCTTTCCAAAAAATTGTGGTGGAAAATAAATTTTTACAACCAAATCTACTAGTTATCCATCTTTTTCAAAAAGAACAGTCTATGATTCCCATACCAACTTTTAAATTTCGACTTTTCCCACAATAGTTCTGCAAGAACTTTTATATAAAGCTGCAGCTGCCCCAAGTGGATTCTTAGATTCTGCTTCACGAAATAAAATTTATTTTTTTAGTATAGTCTATTAGATTGTGAATTCTAACTTCTTTTGTAGTTCAAAATTACTATTGAACTATGCTCATTGCAATTGGATATGAAAGTAACAAATTATCTTATTATAATAAATAATATTCAAGCAAACTATCTTAAGGAAATTCTTTATCTTTTCTTAAATATTTAATATTAATGTATCATTATCGATTATAATATTGGGCATGGGTGTTTCAATGAAATTAGGCATGTTTTTTCACTAATGGCAACAAAGCTGGCATTTGATACTCCATAAACGAGATTTGTGAAATGACTGAATTATTAGATTTATTATTAGGGCTAGCAAATGCCCTGCACAATGCATGGAATATGAGAATTCTTATATATACAATATATGGTGTAACCATTATTTCTTTAGCTCATATGGTGTAACCATTATTTCTGTAGCTCAAGAAAAATCATATAAGTTCAAGCAAACAAATGAAGCTTTTTTTTAACCAGAATAAACTGATTATATTGGATATGCAAAGCAATCTTTTCCTCTCCACATATAGAGGCTGAAACAAAAAGCACTAGCATCTTTCTATTGTGAAGTCTTAATCATATTTCTTTCTCTTTTAACCTTAATAAATACCTGATTATAAATCCGCCATATCACATTTATCAAAGATATGAACTGGCAACAACATAGAGGCCTAAAACCATTAACATTTTCCTATAAAATTCATCATAGAACTCATAAATAGAGTTCTTGTAAGGAAATCATTGTTTTTGTTGCAGCCCGGATTCAGAAGGCGGTACACCTAGTCAATGCAGGGTATGATTAAATGAAATGAACTTGTTTTATATTCTCAAAGACTTGCATACAAATTAAACGAGAGAGAAGTAAAATTTATTAGTACTGAAAAGTTCACTGATACAACTGAACTGAAAATCGAAAACTACCTGAATCGAATATGAATGATAACATGGAACAACTATCCAGCCTCAACAAAGAAAAATACAATAGCTAAAAGCAATACCAAGGAAAATTATCAAACTGGGAAACTAAATCTGAAAAGTCTGCTCTGAAGATGGTTCTACTGGTGGCTGAATAGAACCTATTTTGCCAAAAATATAAAAGATTCAGTTTGATAAACAAACTCAATAAATAACAGTTATTTATTAAATCATAAACGGTAAGAGAAGTATGACATGCAGTATGAACAATAAATATGGATGAGTACTTCATGTATATATAACATCATGAAGCAAAAAGAGAGGTAAACCAAAATATCATAAGAAAACATGCAATTAAGATTTTTCTATTATTTTTTTTTTCATTTATATTGATATAATCAATTTTAATAGATACCCTGAAACCAGGGAGATCAATACCAACACAAGGAAACCCGACAATTTTCTGTAGAGTCGCAACTCTGTGGGCCTATCGCCTGGCTAGCCAAATTTCAAAAGGATTCCATCGACCTACATATCTCACACAAGCATGTCAAATTGCTTTCACGTTATAATATATAAGAAGTATGTAATTTCGCATCGGCTTGTGATATGATATGAATCCACATGTAAGTTTGTAAAATGCTAGAAAAAAAAAATACTATAATTACAAGATTATTCAGGTATGCAGCAATAAATTAAGACAATTAGTAATTTCATCATGAACAATATAGGAAGCCTATAACAAGTGCAACATCATAATTGAAGTTGCAAAGACATGACTGACACGTGACAAACATAAGCAATATTTGTGATTCTACTACAATTAATAAAGAATAATACCTCTAACTAAGAAGAGTACTTTCATCCTCTAATAACAAGTCGTTATTTACTTTGAGGCGGCAAACGTGATATTTCTATAAATTCAATGGTTTGATTGGTATCCTACACAAATTAGAAAATAACATATGATTAATTATGTAATTAAAATTATTTTAGGTATAACCTAATCGACATGTTATTGTTATTATTACTAATGTCATCTAAAGAAAAAAAATTATGAATTTAATTAAACTTGGTTTACTAAAACTTAAAGATCAAAATAAAAACGATAACTTAAAATCCTACAATTTAATAATTTTTGTTTCTCCCCGCTTGCCTTAATTTCAGGAAGATGTATTTATAGGATTTAGAGAAGTTATGGTGCGACAGGGAGAAAGGGGGGACAGATGAGCGTTACCTTCCTCAATGGTTTGGAGTGGACGAAAGGAGGTATAGTGCCACGATGCTGTTGTTGCCTTCTCGACGAGCTCCAAGCACGACAGTATTGCACAGATTTAGTCATAGAGCCGCCGATGGTGTTGGGCAAACTGAGAAAAACAAGAGCGGGATGGAGATCGGTGGATGTAGGTAAGGGAGAGGCAAGGTTGTTTGGTGCCTTAGCCCATGCTCGACCCCTCTCTAAATAGCTGCGGGAGGCAAGAAACGAGTGAAGAAAAGGAAGGCGGCAAGTGCGAGTAGGAGAAGAAAGAAGGAAAGGGCCGTGATTTAGGAAGTCGATAAAGCATCGGGCAAGAGAGGAAAGAAGAAAAAAAGGCGAGAAGAAATTTTGTTTATTACAGTTTTCATCTCTCTGCACCTCAAGTTGACATATTTCTTATGATGAAATTAATGGGCATTATATACATACCATCGAATTGCTATGTACCACCGAATTGCTATGTATTTACATATCTAACTCCTAAACATTGCCTTTTACATTTTCACTGTCAAAATCTTTCATATCACATTAAAAAATCCACTTTTTTAAATTTTAAAAAATGAAACACAACTTTTCTTGCATGGGTAAGGTGACATATATGTAAAAACTGAAGTTTAGTAGGTGTTAGATATTAGATATGTAAATACATAGGAATTGAGTGGTATGCGTGTAAATCTTCCTAAAATTAAATGCCACCCATTTTTGTGATTAAGTATGCACATAAATTGATTAACCTAAAGAGTGCATTGTCATCCTGCGCTTTCATCTTCTAAGTAAAGTAAAAGGAAATAAATTCATTAAAAAGGATGAGCTATGTAGAAAAAGTTTTCACTGATATATCAACATTCAGCCTGAACCTCTCTTGCATGTCACCCAAGTTTTAAGAATAAAATTATTGATGGAATATGCAGTATTTTGTTAGAGTTAAAGAAGCCAAGGCAGGGGCTCAAATGGGAAATATAAAAATAATGAATCATCGAGAACATAACTAATTTTTTATACCTGCTCTTTTATATGGCAGACAAATGTAACCGGTACTTACATGAAGCATATGGAATTAATAGAGCTTTTTTTTCTTCTTTTTTTTTGTGCAAAAGATTCAACTTGTGGGTAAACCTTAGGCCTTGAAGTGTTCATTAATTTAGAGAAGTGGTATAGAAAATTTTTCACTAAAATCAAATAGAAAATTACTACCAATCATAACAGAAATCTGCAATTGCAATAGACACGATACTAACTCCAACCAGTATTGGATCAAAGGGTGGTGGTGGTGGACTGTGAGGGTCTGGAAGGTGGCTAGGTGGTGGTAAAGGATGATTGATAAGTAGAAACAACAAGGATTTGTTTCCCAGGTTCCTGGACAGCAAGCAAACAACGGAGATCGACGTGAAAGGGCTTTCCTGAGTGATGGCAGCAAGGATGAAGGTGGGGACGGCACAGGGGAAGCGGCTAGCAGCGCGGACATAGGTGGAGGTTGGTGTCTAGAGTGATGGCAACAAGCGTGGGTGGCTGCGACAGTGGGGAAACAACAGAAAACATGGCTCTGCGTGGCGGCGGCATGGGAGGGATGCTAGAATAGATAGTAAACAGTCGAGGAATGCAGTAAGGTGGATGGAGGAGGACTGCGTTTCCTTGTAGGCGGCAGCAAGGTGTAAGGGGCAGGATGCTGATTCTGGAGGGCGGCAACATGATGGAAAGGAGAAGAGCTGATTCTGGCATGTGGCTGCAAGATGGGACTGTAGAAAAGTGCCAGGAGGCGGCTATTCTAGCGGTTGTAGCAAGGATGGGCAACGGGGAGAAATATGGGAAAGGTGTGGAGGGGTAGAGGGAGGATAATCATCACCTCAAGAGCGAGATACAACCGAAACACCACTTAGACCTTTGGAGACATCCTAGAAAGGAGAAATAGAAATGCTGATGGCTGACCCGAACAAAACTCAAGCCAAAAACTAATAATCCAACCCTAATAGCTCATATATATATATATATATATATATATAATGAAAAGCTTTCAACAGTTACGACTTCGTTGTTTCCTCTCGGCGTCTTCGCGCTCGATTCTGTTCTCTTCCCGCGCTTCTTCTCTGGCTCTGAGATGAGACTTGTATCCCGTCTTCCGGTCTCGCGAGCTTTCTTGGCTCGGGATTTCCAGGCTCTGCGGCCCCCCCCCCCGGGGCCCCCCCCCCGGTCTGCCGCCCCCTGAGCTCAGTCTCGCCGGTACTGCTCACGATTTTCTGCGTTCTCTGCGCTCTTCCCGTCTCGCATCGTCCTTCCTTTTCTTAGCTTCGGCTATTTCGACATAATTTTTTCCCTCGTTTGCTTTCTTCTCTGAACGTCACGCCTGTCTTTGATGATGGTTTCTGACAATTCATATGCCGCTGCCCTTGCCGGTGTCCACGTCTCAGGCACACCAAAATCGTCATCTTTCCCTCCTTCGTTTGAGTGAGCGGAGGACATGAGCGGAGGACATCATGAGCGGAGGACATCAAGAAACTAACAATAAGAATGAGAAGTCTGTCATCATTTTTACAGAAGCTGAATGTATTCTACTTGTTTCCTTCTGTCGTCTGAATTTGGTTGAGAATTTTCTATATAGTCATCCCAAAATGGTGCTTATTCGTAAAAAAAGTTAAACTTATGTACCTTGTTGGAGAATGGAAAATTGGACTATTAGATGAGAGACACATTCTTATTCAAATTAGTAATGAAGAAGATTAAACGCGTTTATTTCCCAGAAGGAAAATATGGATTGATAACAGAGCAATGAAGATTTTGAAATGGTTTGTGGATTTTGACTCACAGTCGGAACCGCCAATCATTCCAGTTTGAATTCGTTTCTTTGGTCTGAAATTTTATTATTTTTTTCAAAAAAGTATTGTATTTGATTGTCTCAGTTTATGAGAAATCACTCAAGACGGACATTCATACTTTTAATCTGTCCCGTTCTTTCTGAAGTCATAATACTTGTTGAAAAAAATATCACTTAACTCGTTTCTGAGGAAATCTGGTTGGACACACAACACCATGAATATTGATAGAAAATAGATATTGGACCATTTCGGTCGTATTGTTCGAACTGTCGTATGTTTGGATACTCCAGTTCTCAATGTCACCATCTACACCCCCAACTCAGACCAAAAAAGCAAACTACTCCGCTGGAGGCTGTGATTCCATCTCCTCATCTTCTCATGATTAGCTCCCAGTTTTTGACACTATTGATCATCATAAGAATATTCCGGACGTCACTATCCCCGCAGACAATATGACAACTATTCAGTCCCCAGTTGCAGCTCCCTCGTCTTTGGAAATACTTCTACTATTTCACTATCGTCTCATCAGGTCCAGAAAGATGTTAATATTACTCTGGCTCATGAGGATCAAGACGTGCAACAACCTACACCTGTCCGACCACCTTTGGAATCTACTGGTTAAATGAGTCAATCATCAGATGAGGAATGACAGGTCTACACATTCAGGAGGAAGAAGAAGAATTGAAACCTACAAGATCTAATTGAGCTTAGGAATCTGATGGATGATACTTTGGTTATACGGGCAATGGTACTCACCCTACTAATTTGTTAGCCGGCTCACTTTCGAGAACTAGAGGCAGGAGAACTAAAGTGGGACGTCCCTAACATTTTTGTGCCTTTTTGTGGCTTTTTTATTTTTGAACTTTATGTATCTTTGCTTTATCTGGGTTTTTTGTGTGTTGTATTGTATGAGTTGGACTTTCTTTTAGGCCCTCTCATACAATATTTCTGTATCTTTTCCGTATTAATATATTTGTTCTCGGGTTTTTTCTATATATATATATATATATGTATATACATATATATATATGTATATGTATATACATGTATACGTATATGTATATGTATATACATGTATACGTATATGTATATGTATATACATGTATACGTATATGTATATGTATATACATGTTATACGTATATGTTATGTATATACATGGATACGTATATGTATCTGTATATACATGTATACGTATATGTATATGTATATACATGGATACGTATATGTATCTGTATATACATGTATACGTATATGTATATGTATATATATATATATATATAAAAGAAATAACCGGAAAGGAAATATAAGATGAAACATGCTGAAAATTAGAAAGAAAATAAAAGCAAAGGTTTCCGGTTTGGTATTGCTTCGATTGCAGGAATCGACTGCCCTAATCTCGCTGACATGGAATTACTCGAACCCTTATGCCCCCACTTCATTTACAAGATTGAATATTGGATAATGATGCACCAACTAAACACTAGTATTTTGCATTAAGTCATAGTGTTGCTGTTGTTGTCAATCCATACAGTAGTAAAATCTGTTTTACATTGTCAAATTGTGTTGTTTTCTGACTTGTCTGATGTCTCTTTTGCAGACCTTGAAGAATGCCTTATCACCATACAAACTTGGAGGGGCTGGGGGTGGGAGCGATTTTGACCCAAAAGGAAAAAGTGAGAATGAGGTATTCGCTTTATCTGTGATGGAAATACCTAGTCACAATTCTTACATTTTTACATATCTCACACCTAAACTTTCATATTTACATACGTATCACTTTGGTGAAAATGTGTATTTCATTTTTTAAAAGTCTTATAGTGCTATTCTTGATGTAATATTAAAGATTTGAGTGCTATATGTGTAAATATAAATGTTTATGTGTCAGATATGTAAATACATTATAATTGTGTGCCATGCTTGTAAATACCTAGGGAAATTTACATACCTAGCACACAATTCTTATATATTTACATATCCCACATCTAAGCTTTCATATTTACATACATAGCACCTTTGTGTTTTAAACCTATGCATGAAAATGGTGTATTTCACTTTTAAAAAGTGGTAATAGTGCTAAAAGTGGTAATAGTGCTAATAGTGCTATTTTTTATGTGATTTTAAAGATTTGAGTGCTCTATGTGTAAATATGGAAGTTTAGATGTGTGATATGAAATACATTAGAATTGTGTGTTGATATGTAAATGCCATTATCCGTTAATGTATATCACGTTAGGTCATTTTCTACAGTATAGTTCTTATCCTTTTTTGCAGATAATGCGCTTTTGTCAAAGCTTTATGGATGAGTTGTATCGATACCTAGGACCAGATCAGGTAGCTATAAATTCACTGGGATTTTGTATTGGTACTTATCCTCATTTGATTGAAAATATTTGGGATAGCTACTAAGCTATGCTGCGGCTTAAATCTAGAATCTTGTGTTTCTTCTTTATGGTTAGGATCTACCTGCAGAAGATATTGGTGTCGGCCCTAGGGAAATGGGCTACCTCTTTGGGCGGTATAGACGTCTTGCTGGTAATTTTCAGGTATTTTGGCAAAGTTAAAATGTTGTAAGCTAGAATAGAACTATTATTTACTAGGAACATTTACATACATTCTGCTCAGTTGCTATGTATTTACATATCTAACACCCAAAATTTAATTGTTTTATACATGCCATCTTACCTATGCATGAAAACATGTATTTCACTTTTTAAAAGTTAAAATGGTGGTATTTTTGTTGTGATATGAATGATTTGGGTTGATTTGGGTGTTGGGTGCTCTAAATGTAAAAAGGTAAAGTTTAGCTGTTAGATATGTAAATATGGTGGCATGTATGTAAATGCCTCTATTTACTAATAATGGTCCCTTTTACTGTATTTGCTATAATTGAATCTTTTTCATCTTACTATGATAACAGTTTAATCTCATTTGTTTGTTTTATTTTGAATCCCCCTATTCTTGCATAATGATTGACAATCAAAATTTATGCATTCTTTTGAAATCATTTCATAAATATTTTTATTTCTTGACCATTGGGATTTCCTTGATGAAGAGTTTGTGTGTGCAAGAAAATGTAAAGATGGAGCAATGTCGTACATATTCATTATGAACCTTCAGAGATCCAAGTTGTTGTTATAATTAACCTGTAATTAGAGAATAAAACATATAAAAATTCTTAAAAGTTTAAGTTGAAAACATAGAAACTAAGTATTATAGATTTATTAGAATTAGCTTTTAAGCAAACAATATTTTCTTGCTGCATATTCTGAAATATAGATGACTGTAATATAATTATTGTTTTTTCAGAAGGGATATGACAGGCCATTCCGTGAATGTTTGGTAGTTGTTTTTAATCTTATAGGTAGATCTTAACATTCTAATGTTGTGCTATATTATTGAGGAAGTCAACCATTTTATAAGCTACATGTAGAATGAGATAGGATAATAATCTGATGTTTGATTGCTTCATGAATATTTTATCAAAATTAAAAGGTAGATATGTACATAAATGTGTCACATTTAATGTTGGGAATTTAGTGTTTATATTTAAATTTTATATTTTAAACAAAATGCAGAATTGGTCTTTGAAGTTATATAACCTTTTCTATGATGCGATAATAATTTATTGTTCTAGCAAATGCGCTTTATGACATGCTTTTTTCATATAGAATTGGCGGGGCATTAGAGGTTGTCAATTTTTGTTGATTTGGTTGATGGAAATATGAAACTGTATAAATGTCAGGATCTGTTGGTCTACGCATTTAATTCACAAGACAATAGAATTGGGTTTGTGAAATATATGAACTCAAGCTTATCAAAGTTGATTTAAATTTCAATTAGTCTTTTATAATAATAAAACGTTTCATTTCTACCGTCCCATTATAGTAAAAGAAGTTGGGGAGACTTTAAAGAAAACCAAGGGTGGAAAGTCTGTAGGACTTGATGATATCCCAATTGAAGTGTGGAAATATTTAGGAGATTTGGGAGTTTCTTAGCTTACTAAATTCTTTAATATTTTTTTAAAAACTAAAAGATGTTTGAGGCGTGGAGGAAGAGTATTTTGGTCCCCATTTTTAAGAATAAAGGGGATGCACAAGAGTGTGCAAATTATAGAGGAATTAAGTTGATGTGCCATACTTTAAAATTATGGGAGAGGGTAATTGAACATAGGTTAAGACGCATTACAAAGATTTCTCATAATTAATTTGGATTTATGCCGGGCAGATCTATTATGGAAGCTATACATTTATTGAGAGGTTTGATGGAGAATATCAGAGATAATAAGGTGAATCTACATTTGATTTTTATTGATTTAGAAAAAACTTTCGATAAGGTTCCAAGAGATATCCTTTGGAAAGTTCTTGAGAAGAAAGGTGTTGATATGATTTATATTCAAGTCATTAAAGATATGTGTACTAGAGCTATTACTTTTGTTCAAACTGAAGGAGGATTGACCAAATATTTTCCTATTTCTATTGGATTACATCAGTGATCGACTTTAAGCCCATATCCTTTTGCTTTAGTTATGGATGATCTTACTGGACATCTACAGGAGGATGTACCTTGGTGTATGCTTTTTGCTGATGATATCCTTCTCGTGGATAAAACGAGAGAAAAAGC